TAATTCAGATGTGTCAATGTTAAAATTTAAAATAAATTGTGATGATTTTTCAACTTCGCTCTTAATTTACTTTTCGATCTGGCCAATTGAATTGTTAAAATATGTTGTGAAACATACGATCCGAGAAATGAAGTATGAGTTATACAACAGAGTGAGAATCACATTTAATTTCATAAAGGATTATTTTGTTTATGGAATTAAATGCAAATAAATAGGAAAATATACTTTATTGGGTGTAGAATTTGAGATTTCTAGGGTGCAGACTAAAAATCCCCAATTTGATCTTAGTGTTTAAAAACTAAAGCGAGAATTAGCCTTCAGGGAAAGGGAAGTAGGAGCTTTGGAGTGGGAGCCAGTATCCTCCTAGCCTAGCCACGAATTTAGGGAGTAAACCTAAGATTAACCAATGATTTTCTATAAACCTGAATTAGGGTAGAGAATTAAAATTGCTTCTATTTGGCATAATACATATTTAAATCATTTATTTTATCTCATTTCACCAAAAACTCATTATAGTGGGAAAGATGCTTTTTAATATTAGAAAACTTCATCATATAAACATAGTTTAGTAGTTATTAATTTTAAATCTTGCATTTAAATTCTGCTAGTAGTTAATAATTTAGCTTTGATAGTATCTTAAACATTTAGAATTAGTAACAGTAATGTTGTTTTACTTCTGTGAATTTCCTAGTTAATTTATCTTTCAAATTTAAAACTTCCTCGTGAGATCGATATTTGGGGCTTGAAAAGAAAGTTTTATATTACTTGATAACAATACATATACTTGCGTAGAATACCAACATTAAGAGTTTAATGTTATTATTCATAAAATACCACATCAAGTTATTGACACCGTTGTAAAGTGGCGTCAACTTTATAAATTTTGCATAACTATATTTCTGTTGGTTAGGGGATTTTGGTACACCAAAATAATATACTGTTTTAAGTACATATTTTATGCTTCTTTTTGGTGATATTGCACTTTAAAGAAGGGTATTTTCATGTTTTTTTGCAAGTAAATCATTTTTAGGCATTTGGAGCAAAAATGACAAAAAAGGATGAAATTTGGAGCCAAAACAACCAATTTTGGGATTATGGCGCATCATGCGCCAGATAGGCGCATCATGCACCAGATAGGCGCATCATGTGCCAAAATTTAGAGAGCTGGCTCATGATGCACTAGAGACGACTTTTTGCAAATTAAGGCGGCTCGAGATGAATTTTGCAAGAATTTCAAAATGAAATTTGTTCTACACACCTTTTGGAGTGATTCAATACATCTAGACACTTTAAAGGGTTCTATTATGAAGGAATATATCTCTTGGATCAAATAACACATCTTTTGAATTCAAAATAGTTAACTTTAGGAGGAAACTCTTGGAGGCAATTTTGAATTCTTTTCAAGAGGAGACAACCCAAAATAAAAGAGGAAGACTTCAAAGAGTTGAGAGGAGTTGGAAGGAGACGAGAAAGAGAGACAGAGAAAGTTAGCGTGAGAGAGAGAAAGAGAGAGAGAGAAGAGGAGATTTTCTTCTAGGGTTATAAGAGGAGAGGGAAGATGGGAGATTTCTTCTTCATTACACTTCTAAGTGAGAATTGGGAGTGATTGTAAAGAGAGAAAGGCTTGGAGAGAACTTCTAGGGATTTGTTTGGGAATGATTGTGAGGTAAGTTGTATTTTTATTTCTTTTGTTTTGTAAACTTATTTTTATATATGAAATCCATATTTTGTCGTATCCTTCTCATGAATTCTGAGTAGTCTTCTTTATCCATCTCCCTACTTTGAGATATGATTTTGTGAAGAATTGATTTTATTTTCTACGGTTTTAAATGTTAATAATTTGTGATGATGTGAACTCCGATCTTTATTTACTTTTCGATCTGACTATTTGAAATGTTAAAACTTGTTGAGAAACATATGTTCTGAAAGAGATATGATTTCTACAACATAGAGAGAATCACATTTGATTTTATGGGAGAGTATGTCATCTATGGGATTGGGTGCAAATAAATAAGGAAATATACTTTATTGGATGGAAATATGCAAATAAATAAGGAAATATACTTTATTGGATGCAGAATTGGAGATTTTAAGGTGATAGATTAAAATCACCAGTTTGGTCCAATTAATTAGAACCTGATGCAAGATTGTTAGCCCTCAGGTGAAGGAGTAGTGGGAGCTCTGGAGTGGCAACCGGTATCCTCCCAGCCTAACCACAAAATTAGGGACCAAACTTTGGATTAGTCAATGTTCTATATAACACCCAAAAGAGGGTAAACAATAGGATTGCTCATATTTGACACAAAATAGTTTTTATAAATTTTCAAATGATTTTAATTTCTTCACAATCCATATACACATTGTAAAGGGGAATGATGCTTTCTTAAATTTTAACTTTCTGTCACAACAAAAACTTTGTTTAATTCTTTGTTTAATTTTTGTTTAATTTTCGTAATTTTACTTTTGAAAATTTAGTATTTAGTATAGTTTAACTTCTGTAATCTTACATCTGCATTTTATATTTTATAGCATTCACTTTAGTAGTTCATATTCAAACTTTGCACTTTACTTTTTTTGTATTTTTAAATTATAAAATAAATTCAAATGCTTACTTAAAAGATTTTCCAACTTACATGTGGGATCCATACTAGGACTCCATTAGAGCCTTTTATTACTTGAGCGATATGTATACTTGCGTTAATTTAAACGGTGATTTGGCAGTTTTAAAAGAGTTTTAAATGATAAACTATTTTCATAAAAGGTATTTTTGTTGGGGTTATATTACATATTTATTATATATTTGTCGTCTGTAATTTGGTAATATTGATAAAAATTTTCAAAATTTACACATTAAATTACCCGCTATCACATCTCTTATGCTATATCACTTGATTTACACTCTTTGTGTTATAAAATTGTATTATCTTTTGAATTACATACTCATATGTTTCCTAGATTAGAGATATTTCTTTCTTTCATTTCAAAGTCATAAGTATACTAGAAGGACAAAATATACATGACTAAAATAGAGTCGTGGAGCAATGAGATGAGTGTCATGCCACTTATTCATAATAAACAAAGTACTCCCCCTTCTAATATTGACCTGCATTTATCACTTTGTCTAATGAATTAAATATTGAAGTCCTTACGTTAGGATTTGACAATAGTGATATATGTGGGTGATAAAAGTATACGTAGAGAAACTTCACTTAACATGAAATTGGTTTTATTTCAATCCACTATTATTTAATAAGTAAATAGTTCACATGTTCATTCATAAAGAAATTAGAAAAAAGCTAACTCATATTGTTTCCATTCTATTTTTCCTTACAAAGATCATAAAATTAGGATTTATTGCTCAAACTAAGGGTCCGTTTGGGGCAGCTTGTGCGTTTCAGGATAAGCTGCTTATCCTGAAACGCGGCCCGC